TCTCTCAGACGCTGTTAGTGTCACAGCTCTCCTGCCCACATTCGTAATTATGACGGGCATTGTTTCCTTATTCCATCGCTCCTGATCCCCCATAGGGGTCACTGGTTCGCTCAGGGCCCTGTTGCCGTTCCTCCTTCTGCCTACATCCGTACCACTTCCACAATCATTTAACTCTTCTACCCTGAAGATAGAAGCAGCACCTTCCTCCGAAACATTCGTAACGATCTACCAGACTACCCACTATATTTAATACTCTGAAGATGAAAGTGAAATGTTCCTACGAAACGTATGTAAAGATATATTATAGTGCACATCACTCTTCAACCCTGAAGATGGAGGCAAAAACCTCCTCCGGTATTGAAACGATCTAGCTGAATTACACGTCACACTCCTATAGCCTGGAGATGGAGGCAGAAGGTTCCTTCGAAACGTTGGTAAGTCTATTAGACAACATGAAGTGGCACTATTCTACCCTGAAGATGGAGGCAGTAGGTAAAATTCTACAAAACTACACCGTCGCATGTGGAGGGCCAGTAACCTTGTGATCGTAAGTTTTGCAAATCTGTAACCTTCCCTTGTGCGGTCTGCAGTCAAAGAGAAACGATCCTCAGACTGCGAGCTGGATGTCAGGGTTACTCAAGGAAGGGCATGCCTGCAGTGAGCTGGATCACCTCGCTAGCGTCACGACCAGCGTGTCAAACATCGCGTTACCATGACTGCAGCAAGCAGGAGTTCATCTGGCTCCATTCTTCAACATGAAGCTGTACAGTCTGCAGCAGAAGCTGCAAATCGAATGAAACTAACGTTCAGACGGGTTTGAAAAGCGGTCTCTCTTCCCAGAGGGGCGTGTGCAACAAAATAGTCACGAGACCTTTTCTCTGTGCCGCGAGAACGTGCAACGTAGCGGAGGTATAGCTCCACGCATTGTTCGGCACATTACTCCAGGGAAACAGCCCCTGATACTCAACATGTGGGAAGCTTGGTGGGCTCCAAAAGCCGGTTGGGAAACTGTGAAGACAAAAAAAATCTCGTACCTCCGACGGGAATCGAATCCCGATTCGTTGATTGTCGAACCCCATGTCACACGAAAGATAAAAGCTGTCTTCTGAGATACGCACCCGTTAAGTCTGGCAAATTTTTACCAACGTTTTATAGGAACCTGCTTACTCTTCAGGGTAAAAGGGTATAAAAAACTTTATTCTGTGAAGATGGAAACAGTAGCTTCCTACGAATCTTTAGTAAACTTGTATCCGACTAAAAAGACGTTATATCCTGCAATACAATAATCTTCGGTATTTAACAGCTTGTATTTTTCAGCAAGTACTCTTACTCTTTGGTTCCACGGGTCTCTAAATTCCACGAATCTTTAAGAATCTTGACCTCCTTTACAACCGATGCTCAATTTGTTTACTTGGCGTTTTTCTCCGTCTCTGTAATTTTAGCTCAAGTAAATCATTTACTTGACGTTCAGGATACGAACAGGATTAGCTCAGACGGTTAGGCGCTGTGTTATCACAGAGCCTCCAGTTCAATCCCCGGTGACTTCATGTGAGATTCGTGATGAAGTGGCACAGGAGCAGGTTTACATTCGAGTTACCTAATCATCATTCCACCATCGATACACACTCACCGCTCCCCTGAGACGTGCGGTATCCTCGACCAGGCAGCATATCGTCATATTCTCACGTGTATGGGTGACTAAAGACGGGGTTCGGATTTACTTACCTACAGGTCGTAGCTACAATTAATTATTACACTACTGCTGCTTTACACACTTCACAATCACTCCACACTAACCTCTTCTCAGTCTATCTGAACTAGTCTGTACGGGTTTATAACACAGGAACTGTAAAAGTCTCCCTAAATCACACATCCCCAACATCACTGTACTACAGCACACATAAAGTCTTTAAAGCACACGTGAAGACTTCACAGGCTGACTTCTTGTACTCTTCCGTACTCTCAGTTACAATTTGCTCTGGACTTACAGCTCACGGCTCTCGTTATATAGCCGCGGAACGGACATGGACATACAGTAAACACATATCACGTGATCGTTATCCAACCAGTCTATTGGCGCGTCGATCGGATCAACAGAAAACGCAGCTTCCTCTATTGTTGCGTGTTGGGCCGTGTTTACAGAGCAGTTGCCTGGCAACGCGTTACAGTATCCTCGATCTTCAAGTTTGAAGCTTCATCTCTGAACTGGCGCTTGGCTGGTTGCAGAGTAAGGAATTCTAAGGTTCAAGAACTGGGTAATTCTTAATCAAGACTCGTCCTTCTGAGCTATCAAGAGGGCATTCTTGTTCTCTCTCAAGCCAGGACAAGCAGAGAAGAGAAGTCTTGCAAGAAGCGAAATTCCTGAACACCGATTTGAACACGATTATGTTTTCAAAACAGAAGAAAGCTCTCTGGCGCGGTGCGTAATGATCAAAACGAGCACGAGAGAACATGATACATAAAAGATGTGATTCAGCAGCGCGGAAACATAGAAAGTTCTGGACTCAGTTGCCATAGGACACAAACCTTTGGGTGTGGCACTCACTGAAACAACATCTAAGAAGAACTCTCAAATGCTAAAAAAAAATCACGTTATGTGCATGAGCAATATCAGATTTCACCTCTCACTTCGCTTTTGTTACGGAGCAACGTATGTCAAGCCAAGCAGGTTAGATTAGCGGTAAAACTGTTCACTCGTATTCGGCAAGTGTTCGGTTCGAATCTCGATAAGGTTCACCGGGCATCCTGACTGAAGTTCTCTTGTAGTTTTTGCTCACCCCATCGAGGAAAATTCTGATATACCGCGATATAGACCATGGTCGCCTCCTTCCAAATCCTTTCCAATTCATCATTTTAACATTAGACGCATCTTAAACTAATTTCATTCTCAAAATATTCTGTACAGAACACATCATCACAACAGGACTCAATTGCGATAGGTAAAGTGAAGCTATCCCTGTAACAGGCCGTGGTGGCCCTTAGGGTTGTGAGATGTTGAGGCTCCTACATTTTCTACACAATCGGCTCACAGATGGCGGTGAGGTTGTCAGCCTTGCGCGCCGACCCACCTTTACCCACAGGAAGATTCCTGGTACTCATTTCTGTTAGAGGCTGAGTCGACCCCAGGGCCATAGTGCGGCTGGAAGGATTAGGTCAATTGAAAAAATCCAGTGACCTCATCGGGAATGTAACCCGCGACCTTCCGGCTCGCACCATACTGCCTCAACCAACTATGCTACCGCGTGCCAGCAAGCGTAGCGGAGAAGACGAACTGATACAGAATCGGTAGCAAAACCTTAAGGTAAAAGACTAATTGGTAGACCTAGAGGTGGACAGAAGGATAACATTATAATGGCTCATAAAGAGACTGTATACAGTAGAATGGTGTCGGCATCAGCTGGCTCAGGATAGCGATCAGTGGCGGACAGTTGTGAAGACGGGTAATTATCCTTCAGGTTCCATAAATTACTGGTAATTTCTTGAATAGATACGCAACTATTAGCTTCTCAAGATGGAATTGTGTGAGAGCCCCAAATTCTACAAGGTGACTTACTAAAAAAATAGGAGAGTACTCTGTTCTGAGACATGACGTCGTTAAGTCCAGCAGAAGTCAACCGACGTTTCGGAGGAACTTGCCTCCTCCATCTTCAGGCTCGAAGAGCAAACAGAACTGCTTTACATAATATTTCGCGCATGGCGACAAAGGAACGGTACCTGTGGTCACTGTCAGGTTACTGCAGCCTTTCATTTTCCAGTCACGTCTTCGTTTTGGCGTTCAACTCGAGGGCGCTGGGGGTGGGAGGGAGAGAGGGGGTACGTGTCCCCAGGGCCCATGCACCTCGGCTACTCTACAGCACTTTACAACTTCCGGCTACAATGATACACATTATTCGAAAAGTGATCTAAGTATATACTTTTATTTTTTATTTTGGTTTTCGTAACAAACTTATTTTTACGGTGAGGAGCTTTATAACTTGCACCTTTGTCCAAGTATAATTAGAATTAAGTCAAGGAGGATGAGATGGGCAGAGCATGTAGCACGAATTGGGGAGAAGAGGAATATCCATGATGTGTATATATTAACCGTCTTTTAGTGCATACAATTTCACTTGTCACTTCACACTACATGTTTCGGCATCATTCTGCCATCCTCAGGTGTATTAATCACATTAAAAATTGCACTGCCTGCCATCAAATGTCCGTTTATAAAATGATATAAAATGTGTATTCGTCGTTGTTCAGTAATAAAATTTATATATTAAAACTTGTTAAGATCTATCATCTTACATGTCGTACATCAAACTCGTGTGTAATGCCATTCATCCGCTATGGGAGTCGTCCTTCTTATGTTTTAATTGTGTATATACAGTGGCTTATGAGGTGTCTTCCTTATGTGGCTGCGTGCGTTGTACTGCTGGACGTATATGTGTGTGTGTGTCAAGGAAAAGGAATGCATATGGGATATTGGTTGGAATTCGGAAGGAAAGAGACCACTAGGAAGACCAAGGCGTAGGTGTCTGGATAATATTAAAATGGATCAGAGAGAGATAAGACTGGATGGATTGGATTTATCTGGCTCATGATAGGGACCAGTGGAGGGCTCTTGTGAACACGGTAATGAACCTTCGAGTTCCATAAAATTCTGGCAACTTTTTGAGTAGCTGCAGAATTGGCGGCTTCTCAAGAAGGGCTCAGCTCCATGGGCGAGTGGACTAAGCACATACTAAAGTGATGCTTAATACGTATGGCTTGGAGCAACGTTAAGTTTTGAAGAACAGTAAACCGTCGCTAACCCGATTACAGTTAATCCGGACCCGATCATGAAGAAACCTGTTCACAGTTGAGTATATACTTCAGGAGCAAGACGACTTTCAGACTGCGTTGAGGGCAGCTGGGGAGACTGTGAAACACTACGAGTTAACATTTCTACTTACACTAATTACACAGGGATTGGAGATGTCGGAGGCTTGAGTCACTAATGCAGGGAACCCGTTCTGTATGCGATAGTTTCCAACGTGACCCTGGCTACCGAACCTAGACGCTTCCTCTTACGGATCCGAACTCCCCCCCTCCCACTCCTGATCAATAATTGGAATGTACCGCGGCTATATAAGTGCACAGAACACTAAACACACAATATTCACATCTCAACTGCCGCAAGAAACTGCAGTAATCATGTACAAGCTGGTAAGTACTGATCTACAAGACTCTTTGAACAGTTCTGCCTTTTGAAAGCCAATCGACGTTTCGGAGCAACAATTTACCTTCATCTTCAGTGTAGAAGAATGAGCCAAGCAAGAAACCAGCGTGAAGCAGGTAGCAATTAGAAACGTCGATTGACTTTGAACAGACTACACGGCGTCATAACCACCGGTGTGAGAACCTCAGGGCTCTTTTGCCACGAGTGTTTGTGCCCGCAAAGTTGATTTAAATTGACGTGTTTCCACACAGCCACACAATTGGTCAAACCTTCGCCAGAGGATATCACGAACTCACGCAGAAACGAAGGTCTACAGATTTACACAGTAAGATTTTTATATACGCGGGTTCAAGTCCCGATGAGGTAATTGGATTTTTTTCAATTTACGCAATACCTCAAGCCACACTCTGACCCTAGGGTCGACTCAGCCTCTAACAGAAATTAGTACGTGGAATCTTCCTGAGGGTAAAGGGCGGCCAACGCGTAAGGGTGACAACCTCACCGCCATCTGTGAACCGACTGTCTAGAAAATATGGGAGCCTCGACGTCTCACAGCCCTATGGGCCTCCATGGCCCGTTACAGGGACAGCTTTAACTTAGACATTTTAAGGGTTTTGATCTGATTTAGCAGTTACAGACCGAATTAGGATATTGCTTAAAAACGTGTATTTCTCAACACCCTTTTCACATTGGTTATCATTTTAAAAACATTATTCTCCTAGTAAAGTCACATGGTAACATTTAAATTCATAAATAACTAACTCCATTAAGCTGAGCTGAGTTGAAAAGCTATGGAGTTAAAGCATCTCCTTGTTTTAGACCCTTTTGGATATGAAAATTATCAGACAAATGTTTACCTATACGGACATCACTATATGTTTCGTTTAAACACATTTAAATCAGCCTAACTAGTTTCATGGGTACCCCAAACCCTATGAGAATCGTTTGTTCGATAATTTTTACTGCTGTTCTGTATGGGTGTGAAACTTGGTCTCTGACATTAAGGGAGGAACATAAATTGAGGGTGTTTGAGAACAGGGTGTTGAGGAGAATATTTGGACCGAAGAGAGATGAAGTGACAGGAGGTTGGAGGAAACTGCATAATGAGGAGCTTCATAACTTGTGCTCTTCTCCAAGTATATTTAGAATGATCAAATCAAGGAGGATGAGATGAGCAGGGCATGTAGCACAAATGAGAAAAGGAATGCGTATAGGATATTGGTGGGAAAGCCAGAAGGAAGGAACCACTAGGAAAACCAAGACGTATGTGGGTGGATAATATTAAAATGGATCTTGGAGAGACAGGATGAGGTGATAGGGACTGAATTGAGCCGGCTCGTGATAGGAACCAGTGGAGAGCTCTTGTGACCACGGTAATGAACATTCTGTTTCCATAAAAGGCTGGGAATTCCTTGAGTAGCTGCACAACTGGCGGCTTCTCAAGAAGGGCTCAGCTTCATGAAGTTAATGTCATTAATAAATGGTTCTGCTACTCTAAATTACACAAACGGTGCAGTTGAAAGAGTGTCGTTAAATAAACAATCGTCCTCCAATTCTACGCTATATGAGCGACTACATAAGAAATCCTTATGAAGATGATGGTCAGATAAAATTACTCACCTACCAGACTACACGGCTTCATAACTCCACAGTCTAGAATACGAACATTTTTATGTACCGAGGTCAGAACACAGGGTCCCCTGCAGATATAACGCGGATTACTTTGCGAATATATCAACAACTCAAATTATATAGGAATAATGAATTGAAAAGAACATGGAAGGAAACTCGTCGACTCATGACTCAGGAAAATGAGAAGAAGAAAAAAACTGTCATGTTAGTCGTCCCGACTGAGAATCGAACCCATCGCTTCTCGAATACAAGTTAGAAGCTTGAACCAACTTGGTCGTTTGTGATGTGTAGAAAGTTTCGAGGGAACTTGCTGCCTCCATCTTCAAGGCTGAAGAGCGATAATCTCATACACTGTTGCTTTCGTTTCCAGATTGTTCTTGCTGTTGTCCTCACTGTGGCCGCTGCGGCCCCCGCGCCTGGTGGCTTACTGCACGCGCCAGCGTTAGCGTACGCAGCCCCTGCCATCCACGCAGCACCCGTTGCATTAGCTGCACCCGTTGTGGCTGCTCCAGTTGTGAAAGCGTACGCTGCTCCATTGGTGGCAGCACCAGTGGTCAAAGCATATGGCCACTCCGTGGCTTACCCTGGCCTGTATGGTGGCCACTACTTCTAACTCAGGAATCACATTTTTTTCTCCTTCATCATGTCAGCCAACTTCACAAATTTACAAATAAAATCAGTTTGGTACCTGTAGAAAATTTGTTTTAATTCATTATTCTGTTGGCGCTGTATAGTGCCGATACCGATAGCGTCGTTAAATAACCAACCTACGAACATTATCTCCCTGCTTTTGGGCTTGGCCGCTCTCAATAGACTGCTTATTTGATCTGGTCAAGTTCAGGAACTGCGAAAAATACTGTAATGTATTAATGAGTTGCAACATGGTTTTACTTACAGTGCGTCACCCTCCCTCCCGCTAAGAAATGCAGAAGCAGCCACTGTCTTGCTATTTCTTGACACATTTCTCACGTGTAATCCAGAGGCCATGTCTAAAAACTAACCTAGTTCTTCTCGAGAAGCTACCAGTTGCTTTAACTACTCAAGAAATTCCTTGCACTTTATGGAAACTAATGCTTCAATCTTCTGTCCACAAGAGCCCGCCACTGTTCATATCCTGAGCCAAGTGAATCTAGATCACAACAGACTATTTACGAGCCATTTTAATATTATCCTATCTACGGTCAGGTCATCGTCCTTGACACATTATCCTTCCATGTGTGTGAAATACAGAAGAAAACCACGAAATATCTCATTCACGATCCTCGTTTTCGGGCCCAGATTTGAATCCACGACCTCTTGAATAAGAAGCCGCACCAACATCATGGATACAACGTTCGGTGTGTAGCCTATCCCCTTCAGGGGCAAGTATTTCAGTCTGATCTACCGCGTGAAGTCCAGCTGACCCCTGTCTTTGTGCGGAAGTGAATTATACATGGAGCTCTTGGCTACATCTCCCACAGCGCGGATTGCAATCAAGCAGCACACCCGCTGTAACAACACTCAAATATAATACAATCTGTTTCAATACAACCGACTACCAAGGCAACAAAAAGAAGAAAACAACAGAATAACATGCAGTCCCCCAACATGTAAAACCGATTACAATGGCAAAAACGATAAAAACACATATTAAATTTAGCCCCCCCCCCCAAAGAGAGAGAGACTGACGGCTACCAGAGCCGTCACACAGTAAAATATGGTCATGCGTCTCATAAGAAACGGAACCAAGAATCACTGTGCTGGCGAGGACCACCAGAAATTTGGCAGTCCGCCAGCCAGTNAAGCCACGAAACCGGTTACCATGGCAACAAAAAAAAACAATATACAAGAATTGAAGTTAGAAACTTGGAAGAAAATAAAATTGCTGCAATGACTAAGCCTCACACCATTAAACAACATAGGAAGAGTGGAGGTAAAGCTCCACATGCTCCTAGACCTCAATAACAGTGGCTACGCTTCAGTCTCGAGCGTAAAGAGGCTCTGGTAAACATCTGTGTAATTCCAGGATTTTAGGGTGTCCCTGGAAGCGCTGGAGTAAAAAAAATTCCTTCTGTCACTTTACATATTCTCTGTTTAGTCTGTGTCCTTGTTAAATTTATTCAAATATTTTTATTTATCAACAAGCCTATGAACCGGCTTAGCCCAGTCGACATAGTACTCTAGGCCATGGGCGGGACGACCCAAGAATCAAGGTTCTATTCTCGGTAGAAGCAAAAGATTTCCGCCCTCTCTACAGCGTCCAGACCAGCTCCAGGGCACGCCCAGCCTTTCCTATGGATACCGGAAACCTTTTCCCCAGGGGTAAAGCGGCCTGGGCGTAGAGCTGACCACTCACCTCCATCTAGTCAGTCATGAAACTGCAGTTCTGCACATTGTTGCAGGTCCCTATCAGGTTGTACGGTGACAGCAGGAACCTAAATAGCTTTACGGCCTCTGTACATCCCTATAAACCTTAGGCACGGACTCAATAGAAAACATATTTTTGTAAACGTTTTTACAGGTCTGTTGCTTAGCACTGGGCATGGCGCCGATCACAATGAAAACACTTCTTCTGTTAGAATTGTTGTGCAACCTAGCAACGGACTGTTTACCAAGGACCTGTCTTCGCGGGAACTTGTTTACCAATCCGTTGCCTAGCAATGGGTGTGCATCTAACAATATCTTCAGTTCGTTGGGTATAATATCTGGACAATTTCAGATCCGTTAGGACGGTCAAATCAAGAGAAAAGGACAGGTGGGACATGTAGTACGCACTATATAGAAAATAAATGCATACAATATTCTTGCAGGAAAACTAGAAGGAAAGAGACTATTTGGAAGACCTAGGCATAGATGCGAGTTTAGTATTATGGACGTTTAAAGAAACATCGGGGAGTGTGGACTGAATTCATCTGGCGCAGGACAGGTTCCAGTGGCGTATCCTTGTGACCACAGAAACAAGCCTTTGGGTTCCACAAAAGAAAGGGAATTTCGTGAATTCAAGAACAAATAATAACTCCACTAAGTTAGTAATCGGATGTCTAAAACATCTACGTATGAGGGTACGTCATCATTACAGAAATACTAGATTACTGTCACGGGTGTTAGTGACTATAGACGGGGTTTGGAATGGCGAATGGATTTGCTGACCACTTAGAGATCGTAACTAAAAGTAATTATGATATAGCTGATCTCCAAACATTCCAAATCACCAGAGCACATGCTAAGTCTTCTCAGTCTGCTTTCACTAGTCGTTTTCTGGTAACGGTTCTTGACAATGGAGATCCTACGGCTTCTGTGCTCACGTCGTTTGTGTCCGGCGAATATCCCCAAAACTGTCCATTCTCTTAATTATGGTGCCATCTCTTCTCAGCCATCTTGTAGAAATCAACTAAACTCCTTGCTGCAACTGCCCTGGTGATAACATATCGGCACGAATCACATAGAAAAAACCATTCTTCTATTGTTCCCTCGCCGCGGGAAAGTGTTTACCAAGCCGTTGCCCAGAAACGGATTGTATAACCTTGCCCTATCACCGGGCGTTATTTAGCGACCGTTACCTAGCAACGAGTCTACACGCTACATTATATTTTCCACATATGATGGGAACAAAAATTGCCGCACCGGAGATCTCGTTAAACACAACGGAATATTTTCCGTAAATGTACCCATTATACGTATGACAAATCCTCAAAGACGTTTCAGACGAAAACAAATTAGTCTGACATTTCTTTCTCATCTGGAGATCTTAGAGCCGATTACAGTGGCCGAGCGGTAAGAGACATGAATAGTCTTCGCTCGCTCGTACGCTGGGGTCGTGGGTTCAAATCCCACTCGAGGCATGGATGTCTGTGTTATCCTGTGTAAGGAGCAGCCTTGCGACGGGTTGATCCCCCGTGCAAGGAGTCCTACCAACGACCTTATGATTACGAAACTGAAGTTAAACAAAGCGTTTCCCGGATGCCCTATGCTCCAAAGCTGGAGGAGAGAGAGAGATTCTAGGTGAACCTCCAGCATCCGCCAGTTCCCTGCAACGGAAGGAAGGAATGACGCAGGTAACTGAGCTGAAGAACAAGTATTTATTTTAAGGAAGCAAGCTCTGAGGTAATAGCATTTGAATTCAGACACTGATCTGTTGTTAGAATTCAGAAACAGAGCTTCGCATATCTGCCAGCATTGTAAGCAGCCATATCTGTTACGCAATCCGTAACAGACGTGACGCAACAGAAGAGTGCACAGTGCTTTCTCTAATCAGTTGTGATTGAATTTGACGCCTTTATGACACTATTGTTAATTCTACTCGTGTGCCTGTCGCTATGGTAACTTGACGTAATATTGGCTACCTGGTCACCTGATGTAACACAGAGGCATCGCATGATGGTATAAAACGTCACCGGTAAACTACTGGGCGTCAGATTCAAGTGCGTCTTCAAGAGAACATTCACACACGAATCATGTTCTGCAGAGTGGTAAGTTCTTGTTGTACTAAAGGGTTGATAACGGCGTACTCGGGATGAAATCTTCGGTACAACCCTTATTCTCAGTGTTTATGATATAATATATTTAAAAAATAAATCAGACTATTTGATAATGTGGGGCATGCGGTAGAATACTTGGTTACCGCAAGGTCGGGGGTTCGATAACCGATGAGGTCATTGAATTTTTAAATTGACCTAATCCTACCAGCCGCACTATGGCCCTGGGTCGATTCAGTCTCTAACAGAAATGAGTACCAGGAATCTTCATGGAGGGTAAAGGGCGGCTGATGCGTAAGGCTGACAACCTCACCGCCATCTTTCAGACGATTGTCTAGCAAATGTGGGAGCTTCAGCGTCTCACAACGCTACGAGCCTCCATTGCCTATTACAGGGATAGCTTTGCTTTTATTATATTAATTATAAATATATTATTATATACTGCAGATAATTACGATATCCCAGATTCGGAAACAATGTTTGGGTTACCCATTTTTGGTGCGTCACTTTACGACGCTGTCAGGTCTAGACTATATACCATCGAATTGTAGGATGTTATACAAAGTGGAAATTATCTGGAAGGAAACGATCTTGGGATAATCAAGGCAAAATCGTGAAAATTTCCTGAAGAGACTACAGGAACAAGAAAAAAAACCTCCGTCAGACTAGCCAACGTTGCGGTCAATATTCGAGCCAAGAACCTTCTGTATACGAGCCAAAAGCGTGAACGCTATGCTAACCTGCTCGATGTCAGAGTTGCCGCATCCAACCCGATATAACGTAACAGTAATAATCCCTCCAACAGGATTGGTTTCTTGTGTGTTTGGTTTTGAAACATTTGAAACATCGACTTCATGTTTGTACAGTGCCTTCTGCTGGTCGCCCTGGTGGCCGGTTCAGCAACAGCTGCACCAGGAATCATAGCAGCAGCTCCGGTGGCCTACGCCCCAGCGCCAGCCGTGGTTACCGCCCACAGTTCACAAGTGTTCGCTCAGCGCTTCAACGCACTCGCTGCTCCGCTGGTAGCAGCTGCATACACGGCCCCTGCTTACGCTGCGTATGCGCCTGCGCAGATTCTCCTCAAGTGAATGACCCTGCTCAATACGGTACAATCTTGTCTCCTGCAGCCACCAACGATATTTTGTTTGTATGATCAATGATTAATATAGATCAGCTTTAAAATCAAAACAGCAGCTTATGATTTATTTACCCTTTCACACATCCTTACTGCATAGAAAATAAAATTGAAGCTTACTGTCGACAGCTCACAAAAGCTGGTCCTCCAGCTTAGGGACACAAATAAATCCCCGCCGTAAAAGACTCTAAAACGTTACGAAACGTTTCACATGGCTTCTTCGGAACGACGTAATCAAAGGAAAATGAATGACATTTTGCTCTTTTAATGTCTGGAATTACTGCAGGTCACGTGCATTAAAAGAGCAGATAATATCAAAATCAACTGACTTAACTTTCCGAAGAAGGAAAGAGAG